CCGAAGACCAGATAAGGAAGAATGGATGGAAATTGAACAAGGAGAGGTTCAACCTGGAAATAAGGAGGAATTTTCTGACAGTGAGAACCATCAACCAATGGAACAGATTTTTGCCTTCAGAAGTTGTGGGAGCTTCATCCCTGGAAGCTTTCAAGAAGAGATTAGACTGCCATTTATTAGACATAGTGTAGGGTCTCTTGCTTGGGCAGGGGGTTGGTCTAGGTGACCCACAAGGTCCCTTCCAACTCTGTTAATCTCCCCAATTTCAGGTATAATCTTTCTCCTAATCTTTTCCCAGGTGATGGGGGTGGTGGTGGTTTGTCTGCAAAAGTTTTTCTTAGCCGACGGACCGTTTTCATCTGGTCACTGCAGTCATTCTCGAGTGACGCAATTTTGCTTTTTCTTTCTTTTTTTTAACAATTCTATTATTCCCTCCGCTAAAGCTGTTTATGGGGAAGAAGGATGCCTTCCCATTTCACAGTCCACAAAACCAGCCCGCAGCATATGCGCCGACTTTGGAAAATGAGTTTTTTATGGGTGCGTTTTTGCCTCTCTTAGTGCAGTACGTAGCTGGCTTTCGAACAGATTGCTGAAACGGTCTTGGTATGCTTTTTACCCAGAGATCGATGGCATCTCAAATAAAACATCTGCTGTCTTGCTGTTTGTTAGGAATGGAAAACGTTTCTCCATAAGTAAAAGGGTTTAGCTCAATGAGTAGAGGGTCCATTTGTGATCTGGTCAATAAGTCTATAGTTTAGTGCAGGGGTCGCCAACCTTTTGGACCTCCGGGACCACCAAACTCATAATTTTAAATCCCACGGACCACTAATATGAATTTTGACTGATGGTGGCTTGCTGACATTTTCCCAGAGTCTCTGCAGAAAGCAGCAGAGGAAAATCCCAAGAAAAGTCTGCAGAAAAATTCCCCACCCCTTTTTCCTACCGATCGATCATTCCTTATTTGGAATTGCAGGATACTGTCTCCATCTCCGTTCTCGGGGAGAGAGAGAGAGAGAGAGAGAGAAAGAGAGACTTTTGGCTTCATGCAAGGAAAGCAGCAGAAGTAGCAGAAGTCTTTCTTTCTCTCCCCCCAAATCTGTCAGAAATGAGTCTTTGCCAGCGGAGCCTCTGGAGCAGGAGGCCTTGCAGGGTCCCAAAGACTCATTTCTGGCGGAGTTTGGGGGAGAGAAAGAAAGACTTTTGCTGCTTTCCTTGCATGCATCCAAAAGCAGAAGAAGAAAGAAGTGGAAGGAAGCAGCCTGGTGGCCAGGCAAGGAGTGTGGGGCAAGTTCCCCCCTCTGCCCTTTCCCCCTCCCCTCACTACCTCGTATTGTTCGCAATGCAAGTGATGCAAGCCTTGTGTCCCCGTGGGCCATGTGGCCGGTGCAGCCTTGTGTTCCCGCACAGCCTGGATTAATTGCTTTGGGGGTGACATTTCTCTGTGGACCACCAACATTTTCTCGCAGACCCATCAGTGGTCCCTGACCTTCCAGCCTTGACAACTTCGTGACTTTGTGGACTTCAAATCCAAGAATTCCTTGGGGCTTAGCTAGGGAATTCTGGGAAATCCACAAGTTAAAATTGCCAAATTTGGATATGCCTAGTTTAGTGCAATCTATGAACCTGGCCCTCACTCATACAAGCTAGTCCTCAATTTACAGCTAGGATTGAGCTCAAACTTCATGGTGTTAAGTGAGGAATTTGTGAAGTGAGCTTTGTCCCATGTTACGACTTTTTCCTACCAGGTTTGTTAAGGGAATCCCTGCAACTTGTTAAATTAGTAATGCGGTCGTTAAGTGAATCTGGCATCCCAATCAGAAAGAAGAAGAAGAAGAAGAAGAAGAAGAAGAAGAAGAAGAAGAAGAA